ATGGCTCTGAATAAGATCCAGAATGGTCAGACAAACAGGGATTTACTTTTTCGAAACAGAAAACTGTGTGCGTACACTTTTGTAGGAAGCGAGGTCTCCATCCTGAACCTGAGTTATATCTAAATGGTACAATTATTCCAGTTGCGCCCGAAGTAAAATTTTTAGGAGTGACGTTCGACCAGAAATTGACTTTCCTTTCTCATGTTTAAACCTGAGAAAGAAGTGTCTAAAAACACTAAATATTTTAAAAGTGTTGGCGAACACCTCCTGGGGAGCAGAGCGTTGCTCTATACTTCGCGTTTACAGAGCGCTTATCCGCTCTAGACTGGATTATGGCTCAGTTGTTTATGGATCCGCTCGGTCATCTGTTTTGTTAAAACTGGACCCTGTTCACCATCAAGGTTTGCGGATTTGTTCAGGAGCTTTCAGGACTTCTCCTGTACAGAGCCTATATGTTGACTCTAACGAACCATCACTTTATCTGAGGCGTGAGCAATTGTCCCTTTTGCAATATTTTAATATTCTATCCCAACCTGAACATCCCAATAAGCTGTGCTTACTTGATAATGAGTGTAACACATTATTTGAAACACGTCCATCCTGTGTTCCTACATTTCTCTTAAGAGTTCGCCCTGCCATTGAGGAACTGTCCCTCTCTGATATGCGCCTCCAAGCAGTACAGAATTTTGAAATCCCACCTTGGGAAAATGTACGGATTCAGCTTCTTAATGTTTTTAAGCATCATGCGAAGGCAAGCACTAACGAGATCATTTACAGACAACTCTTCGCTGAGCACAGGCACAAATATAGCAGTTATCTTCCAGTCTATACAGATGGTTCAAAGTCAAAAGATCATGTCGGAATGGCATTTGTAATTGAAGATCACATGGAGGGCAGACGCGTGAACCATGCTTTCTCTGTCTTAACATCCGAACTAACTGCGATATATTATAGTCTTTTGTACATCTCAGGCTCTGCCACAAAATAAGTTTATAGTTTATACAGACTCTTGTAGCGCGCTTAAATCATTAGAAGCTTTTTCCCATACTCAAAATCCAGTCATAGTGGATATTCTGAAAGTTACATATAAACTTAACGAGTCGTGGATATGATATCCTGTAAACTGCTGGGTTTCCCGGCCATGTGGGAATAAAAGGGAATGAGCTGGCAGAGATATCACAGCGAAAATGTGCTGTTGATCTGTCCAGTCGCCTCATCCCTTTTGGAGACATCTGTTGTGTAGTCAAAGAGAAGATCCGAAAAAAATGGCAGCAACTTTGGGATGTTCAGCTTCAAAACTAGTTAAGACATGTAAAGCCTAGAATTGAGCATTGGGAATTAAGTAGAAATCGTAAGGAGGAAGTTCTTTTGACTCGCCTCAGAATTGGTAACACTAGAGTGACACACAACTACCTTTTAAAAGCTGAGAATGAACCTGTTTGTTCATATTGTAATGTTTGTCTATCTGTTCGTCATATTTTAATTGAGTGTCCCTGTTTTAACAGTCTTCGTCAGAAATATTTTAATAGCTGTGACTTACCTCTCGTCCGTTTAATCGGAAGAGAGGTCAATTGTAATTTATTTTATTATTTAAAAGAGACTGGCTTTTATTACCAAATCTAATTTGTTTTGAATACTGTGTCTATTTTAATGTGTGCTTTAACTTTTTTTATGACTTCATCCTGATTGGTAATTTATCTCTTGTTTTATTTATTATTTTAATGTATCATTGAATCATCCCTTGTGTTTGGCGCGTTAATCTTGGTTTTGCGCCATAATCACTCACATCACTATCTCATTGAAGCAGATGAAAACAAAGAGCAGTAGTTGATGCCTTTATCAATAATTTGTTGAACTTTGAAAAAATAAATGACTCACCTTCTCAGTTGAGATCACTGGTAGATAATGTTAAAAGATGTTTGAGATCTTTAAGTGTATTAGAATTTGATAGAAATAATTTATCTGATGTTTTGATATTAAATATTTTATTGCATAAATTAGATAGAGAATCTAGAAAAGCATTTGAACTAAACGTAAAATCAAATGAAATTCCCAAACTTGATGAATTTTTAGAATTTCTCGAAGAAAGAATTCGCATTCTTGAAGAAATAAACAAAGTTAGTTTTCCTAAGCAGAGCTATGCTACTAAAGTATCAAATCAATTAAGTCGCTCTAGAAATTCAAAATCCTTGGTAACTAAAACAAACCCTTTTCGAAAGTGTATTATGTGTAAAGAACCACACCCAATTTATCATTGTTCGAAATTTAAGAGTATTTCTGTTTCTGAGCGGTATGATTTTGTTAAAGAATATAAATTATGCATTAAATGCCTTTCTCCATCACACGTATTATCGCAGTGTAAGGCTAAATTTAGCTTGTTATGTCTGTAAGAAAGACACACATCATTCGCTGTTACATAAAATTGACGAAAACAAAAATGAATCATCGAAAGAAAATGAATTGACCTTGAACCTTTCGTCAGTGAATGGGAAAGAGGACTGCCCCTCTCCCCCCCCCCACAACTTTGATGGCAGCTGCAAATAAATCTAAATTTGTGTTAATAAATACAGCGATTGTTTATCTTCGCGATGTTTACGATGAACGAATTCCTTTTAGAGCCGTGCTTGATTCAGCTTCGACTTCTAATTTTTGTACTGTAGGTGTTATGAACTCATTAGGAATAAAAAAAGAACGAGCATTTATTCCAGTTAGTGGAATAGGCAACACTACTTTGAATGTTAAATCGCAAATAAAGACGCGTTTATCGAACTTAGAAAAGGAAAATGAATGGGAAATAGAGTTATTAGTTGTTCCCAAAATAACTGACATGACACCATCGAAATCTATTGATATTTCGAAATTAAATATTCCGAAAGGAATAAAGTTAGTTAGCTGATGATGAATTTTTCAAGGCAAAAAAGGTAGATTTATTATTAGGTGCGGAATTATTTTTTGAATTTTTAAAAACAGATAAAATACGTTTAGAAGATAATGAGTTACTTCTTCAAAACAGCTGCTTCGGCTTTTTAGTTTCTGGAAGCATTAGAATTCCAAATGTAAAAAATTATGACTTAAATTATTGTTTTTTGTCAACAGAGATTAATTCGTTAAATAACTTAGTAAAGTCATTCTGGGAAGTTGAAGAAGTAAATGAAACTAAATCTACAGTTAATTCTGAATTAAATTATTGCAACGAACTTTTTAAAAACTCATTTTACCGGCATGCGGATGGAAGATATGTGGTTAAAATGCCGTTCAAGCCAGATATTGGTGAAAAAAACATACAATTAGGGGATTCAAAGGAAATCGCTGAAAAAAGACTGAATCAATTGTGGAAACGTTTGTCGAGTGATTCTGTAATGAAAGAACTTTATGTTTCATTTTTAAGGGAATATGAATCATTAAATCATATGGAGAGGATGGAAGACTATTCTGAAACTGAAGGAGGATATTTTCTTCCTCATCATGGCGTGCTGAAACCTGATAGTAAAACAACAAAGTTACGCGTTGTGTTCGACGCGAGTGCCAAAACTACTAACGGTTGTTCATTGAACGACATATTATGTAAAGGTGGAATGATTCAAGAGGAACTTTTTTCCATCATGATACGGTTTAGAAAGCATATTTATGCATTTACTGCCGATATTGAGAAGATGTTTCGACAAATTGAAATATTGCCATCGCAGACCAAATATCAGAAAATACTTTGGAAGGAAGATGAAGATAAGCCTATAGAAATATACAGACTCAAAACGGTAACTTATGGCACAGCATGCGCTCCATATTTGGCACAAAGGACTCTTCAACAGTTAGCGAAGGATGAAGAAAAGGATTTTCCTGTAGCATCGAAAGTGGTCTTGGAAGATTTCTATGTAGACGACTGTCTTACTGGATCTTCGAATTTGAAGGAATGCATTCAGCTCCAGAAAGATTTGACAGAATTGCTCCAAAGAGGAGGAATGAAGCTACACAAGTGGTGTACTAGTTTTGATTCTCAGAACTCTGATTTACAGAATTTTTCATTTGATCGTAATAGTAATACAACTGTGAAGACGTTAGGTATGTTGTGGAATAATAAGAAGGATACATTGCAATATAAAGTTACTGTTAATGAAAAGCCTGATGTTACGAAAGAGATGTTTTATCTCAAATAGCGAGATTATATGATCCTTTAGGCCTACTCGGTCCTATTATTAGCAAGGCAAAGATATTCATGCAAGCACTTTGGTTGCTTAAGCTAGACTGGGCGGAACAGTTACCACCACCTCTTGCCAATGAATGGAATGTGCTTATTAAAACTCTTCAGAGTATAGAAAATATACAAGTACCTCGTTGCATTTTAAAAGAGACCTTTTCAATGCTCATTTTACAGGGATTTGCGGATGCCTCCGAGAAGGCATTTGGGGCAGTGATATATCTTCAAAGCATTACAAGCCCTGGTGAATATTGTAGTAAACTTCTTTGTAGCAAATCTCGTGTAGCACCAATCAAGACTATGACTATTCCTAGATTAGAACTATCAGCATGTCTACTCCTGTCCAAACTTATGCAAAAGGTTTTAGAAGCTTTGAAACTCAAAATTGATGACGTTAAGCTCTGGTCAGATTCAAGCATTGCTTTAGCCTGGATCAATACATCACCGCATCTTTTGAAAACCTTTGTGAGTAATAGAGTCTCACAAATTCAACAACTTACTTCTAACTATCAGTGGGGACATGTGTCTTCAGAAATGAACCCAGCCGACATCATTTCCAGAGGATCAGATGCTACAACTCTTGGATCTAACAAGCTGTGGTGGAAAGGTCCTGATTTTTTAAACAAGGACAATTTTCAAGATAAAAAAAATGGACTTAGTGATGAGCTTTATTCTTCAGAACTGAAACCAGTTACGACTTCCTTGTTGACTTTAAAAACTGATTCATTCTTTGATGACTTCCTAAAAATAACTAATGATTTCTTGAAACTAATACGAATTCTTAGTTTACTTTTCAGATTTATCTACAACTGTAGGAACACAAGTGAGAAACGAACAGGTAGTATTAGTATAGATGAAATGGAGCTGTCAAGGAATACACTCCTTAAATATATCCAAGGTAGGTATTTTGCAGAAGAAATTTCTTTGTTGCAGAAAGGTCTACAGATAACATCAAGGAGTAAGTTAAAATATTTTGATCCCTTCTTAGATGAAAAAGGTCTGTTAAGGGTAGGTGGTAGGATAAAGAATTCTAATTTAAGTTATAGTCAAAGACATCCCATTATTTTGCCTGCCAAGAATAAGTTAACTGAACTTATATTTATTTATTTTCATGAAAAGGATTTTCATAATGGTCCACAATCACTATTAAATTCTATTAGACAAATTTATTGGCCCATTAATGGCAGGAATATAGCTAGAAAGATAGTCCAAAGCTGCATAATTTGCTTTAAGGCAAAACCAATAATTTCTCAACAACTAATGGGAGAATTACCTAAAGAGAGAATTAATATTAACTTTACATTTAATTGTTGTGCTATTGATTACTGCGGCCCATTTTTGATAAAGTACAAAGGGCAACGCAAGGGGTAACTATCATAAGATATATGTTTGTATTTTTGTTTGTATGGTGACAAAAGCAATCATCTAGAGATTGTCAATGACTTAACCACAGAAGCATTCATTGCTTGTCTGAAGAGGTTCTTTGCCCGACGAGGTAAACCAAAAAAAAAATATTTAGTGACAATGCAAAAAAACTTTGTTAGTGCAAATACAGAAATTAAAAAATTAATGAGTATTTTTCTAAAGCAGAATGGAACTTTAGCTAATTTTCTAGCCGAGGAAGGTGTACAGTGGAAGTTTATACCCCCAAGAGCACCAAATTTTAATGGTCTATCTGAAGCAGGAGTAAAATCCTTTAAATTTCATTTTAAATGAACGAACAGTAGGAAATTCAGTATTAACCTACGAAGAATTTTTGACAGTAACAGTTCAAGTAGAGGGAATCTTAAATTCTCGCCCTCTTACACCGTTAACTTCTAATATTGATGATTTAAATGTTTTGACCCCTGGTCATTTCCTTATAGGTCGACCGATCAATTCAATAATTGAACCCAATTTAACAGAAGTAGATAATAACAGACTTAGTTTATGGCAAAAAACTACAAAAATGGTACAAAATATATGGAAGAACTGGACTAATAATTACTTGAGCACTTTGATTCAAAGAAATAAATGGATGATTGCTAAACAAAATATTAAAATAGGGGATATGGTAGTGATCAAGGAAGAAAATCTTCCTACCTGCAAATGGTTGTTAGGGAGAATTGTAGATGTGTTTTATGGAAAGGACAACATTGTGCGAGTTGTCTCCGTCAAACCCAAAAATGGTATTTATAAACGAGCGGTTACTAAAATTGCTGCACTGCCAATTGAGAAATAATGTACGAATTTTTTATGTTTATTTGAAGGTTTGAATTGTAATCCATCATATTTGTTCTTTTCACATTGTAATTACTTGTATTATAATTTGTGCATTAATTTACATTGTATCATTTTGTATTGTATGAACATTTATTATTATTTTTTTGAATTTTACTTATTGTATTGAAATTAATATTTCAACGCCGGGCGGGATGTTCGGTGTCTGAAAGAGTATTGCTTGGCAGCATTGTTTTACGCCAAGCAGAGTTTGGCTTTAGTGTAACCCTAAAGTTATTTCGTTTTTGCTTTATTAGTATGAATGATTTCTGACTTGATGTAAGAGCATATGGTTGCTCGCTCTTTAGCTAAGTTACATAGGTAACTATAAGCACATGCGTGTGCTAGTATTCAATAATGTTGTTTTTGTTAAAATAAAATTGTTATTGTTAATATTACAGTCCACTTACTGAAGTTAAGTATCATTAAATAAGTTCGAGCTATCTTCGGCAAGAACAACAGTTATTAAAACCTCAAAAAAGCATGTCTGCGATGTTATCGTCATGCGATGATTCGTAGATACTTTATATTTTACCACGATATTTTCGACGACGACGTTTTTAAACTGCGATGTTTTTGAACCGCTTTATTTTCGACGACGGTGTTTTGTACCACGATGTTTTCTCCCAATATGTTTTGCAGCACGACGTTTTCGCCTTGCGTTGTTTTCTCCGCACCGTTTTCGTCCGTGATGTTATCGGCGGACACCATATTTTACATGACTCATAAAATATTCATAACTCATTTTTATCATGACACAGCAAATCAATATCATCAGTCACCTTTTTAGTTCTAGTTTGCTGTCATGTCTCACTTTTTATATTTCATTTTGTTTATTATGAATTTACACCTAATAGACAGTCACCGTTCCTCCTATGAGGGGACATTCTCCGGAATTCGCACCCAGGTCTTTAGGTATCGTTGTCTGTTCCCCTAACCACGATGCTGTTTGGACGATTCTTTCAAAAGATAAATGTGAAAACCTTGTAGAAGACGCTTTTGACGCCAAATAATTTCTTCAAGGAAATAATTTCTTCATTCTTTCTTTCTTCTTTGGGGATGCACATCATTTGACATTTAACGTCGCTTTGGTTTTAAATCGTATTTACTAATTTTACGTACTTTATTTTATTTTGGTTCTAAATCGTGGTTCTAAATTCTATTAAAATGTCTCAAGCAGTTGTGAGATATTTTACCTCCAAAAAAGCTGTCTCTTTCATGAATATACACGATTCTTCATTTTTGCCATATAGGGCAAGATACTCGGACAAAAATGACTCTGTATTCAGTTAATTTACGATAGAAGTTACTACCTTTGCTGAATAATGTTATGTATTTAATTGATATTACTTATAAGGTGGATGAAGTCAATGTTAATGGTAAGATAGAGGGCGAGGAAATTCATCTGAAATTGGCTCAAGCAAGGCCTTCAAAGAATTGCTAGAAATTTTCGACTTGGATAGCCATACTAACAAATTTCGTTAACATAAATTAAAAACAAATTAAATAAAAAGTATAACTTTTTTAATCATTTAACTTATTATATCATTACGTAGTTAAATTATTTGTAAATCATTCTAAATGTAAACCCTGCTAAAAATGCCCCATAGGAACCAGTAAAACTTTTTATGAGTACCCATAAGATTTTATGGGTTTTTATTGACTTTTACTGGTTTCTGTTGGTCTCTGTGGGTTTTTCTTACTGGTTTCAAAATGACCCATAGAAACCAGTAAAACTTTCTACTGGTACCTATAGAATTTTTGGTGGTCTCTACTGACTTTTACTGGTTTCTATTGATCTCTGTGGGTTTTTCTTACTGGTATCACTTGACACCCATACAACCAACATTCAATGGCAGAACTTTGTACTGGTTTGTATAGGTTTATATTGACTTTTGCTGGTTTTCTTACTGGTATCAATATAATAATAAATCTTCTGTTGGTTTATATGGGTTTGTGCTATTTTTTTATCTGACGTTAATATACTTCTTGTAAACAATAAAATTAACAGAATGAAAATATGATCTCTTTAAGACCACCAGAGTAACCTCTAACGCAGTGGTCGTTTTAGAGAGGGTTTTTACTAAATATGCTATTTTTTATTTAATTTTTTTTCGGAAGCAATAACAGTAATCATATACACCACACACAACGAGGTCTCTCCAAGGCGACCAGCCGCAAATAAAAATTCATCTTTGCAAGTGGTCGCCTTAGAGAGGTGATGCTCAATACTAATAGATACTCACGTTCTCAGAGATACGGTTATCTTTTAGAGGTGGTCGTCTTAGGGAGATTGCATCTACGGAATGAATCTCTCTAAGGCGACCAGCCCCACTAGCAGAATTTTCTTTGTGAATGGTCTCCTTACAGAGGGAATATTCAATGCCAAAGTATACTTATGTTTTCAGAAATACTGGTCTCTTTCAGAGGCGGTCGTCTTAGGGAGGTGGTTTTTGCTACGAGTTGGTTCTCTGAATACACACACATAAGCACTTACATTTCTGATATGACAAATAAACACCGGTATCAACCAACATCTCTTTAACGCAAAGAAGTTCATTCACAATCGCAAAACTTTTCTCTCTGTTAACGCTGACGTGAAGAAAAAAATTCCCCCTCCCTTCCCCACTCTCAGAAGTTTTCCAAACAAGCAATATGGCGCCGCCCTGGTTATTGTTGTGCGATGGTGGTGTTATTTTCTTCGTGGTTGTAGTAATGCAATATATTATTTACTATGCTTTACTGTATTACAAATTTTACTATGTTTTACTTTTTAGAAATTAATAATAAATAATAAAATACCAGCACTGACTATGAATATACCACTAAAGCCATGCTAGTGTAATCGTGTCTAATGTTTGAGAGAAAGTTGCTGATAACTGACTAGTTGTGAAATGGAGTTTCTGAGCGTGAAATTGATTTTCCATCTTTACTTTTATCCTGAAAAACAATGTGCTTAAAGACTGAAAGTGATAATTTCAGACTTGATAATTTGGTTCAGTGATCAGATGCAGAAATATAGTTTTTGCAATTTACTGAAATTGTATTTTGGAAAATTTATTTTTTTGATTACAGTTTAGAAATACTTTTAAAGCTTGTTCATGTAGATGCTTTAATCATTTGAATATTATGTACTAATAAATTGAGCATACCTTACTTAAAATGATCTGCATGATCAATTTTCAATTTTTCGACTAATGTGATGTGGCCGAGCAAAAAGAATACTTTTTTACGTTTTAAAAATGTACTACTAATTATATTTCGCGAGCAAAAGGTAAGTTTTATTAATGAAATAAACATTGAAATATTTATGTGTTTATTACTTATTGAATAGGGTAGACAAGAATACAAGCTTAAGGAATCTTTTTTCCACTACTAAAATTATGTGAAAATTTAGATGATCATAGTACTACATTGTTTTTTTCTTTTTGGTCTATTTTTCTTTACAAGTATGAGACTAGAACCACATCTTTACATTAAATATTTGTGCTATTTTGTTAAAACACATATAATCATTTTATGCATACTTTAATTTTCATTATATTTTGTTTGATGAAGAAAATTTCAAATGTGTGTTTTTCATAAATTGCTTTTGAATAGAAATAGATTCGTGAATAAGATTTATGTAATATTAAATGTACTAGTTTTGGAAGTATAAAAAGTGAATTATTTATTTGAAAAAATTACATTAAGTTGAACCTCATATAGTGGTATTTTCTTAAATGACCACCTCTGATAATGGCATATTTGTTAGGACAATAATTAAACAACATGACTTAAAAAATCACTCATAGTTTTGTCAGGCTATAGGAAACTGGCATTATCTTGAATTGTGGAGATGATTGTTTTAGGAACGTTTTGTTGTATAATCAATTGACTTAATATATTATTGTGTAGTAATTTTACATGTGGGTATGAATTTTGCAGAAGTAATTGAAAGTTTTTACGAAGACAATTAAAACCAAAGCTTTTCGGATCATGAAGTCTTATAAGGGCACTGTTATAGCATTGCTTTCAAGTATAGGTTAGAGTAATATTTAAACATTATTTTTGGAAGCACTTCTACAGAGAATCCGGTTGTTCTCTGCGGATGAAAACACTATGTAAATAAATCTTCTGTACAGCCTTATACAAATGCAGTTAAAATTACTGTCATTAGAATTAAGCGAATATAGCTACATTTGTTTACAAAAAGTTATTATTGCTAAATACTGCACTATATAAATTTCATTTGGCATTGTAATTTCAGAAAATGCTCAGCATGAGGTATTTTTATATTATATAATCTACTGTCAAAAATAATAGCTACCTTTTCAGTACTTTAAATTTTACTCTTTAGAATTTTTATGGTTCAAAATAATATTTCTATACATTTTCTAAAGTATTCTTTCTACAATAGAAATCTAAATAACTTACACCTAAAACAACTGACTAAATTTATTCCAATAATGCATCGCTTTAATTAAATTTATGTTCCTTTGAGATGATATATGAAAAACCTGTGTAATAATAAAATAAATTATTAATATATATAGGTAAATGGTATTTATATATATTTTTTCGGGTAAAGTGCATAATCGCCTACTTATTTATTTGGTACTTTTTACTAAAGTAAAAAGAATTGGATTTTTGTCAATTTTCCTTTGACTTTTTAAGTGAAAATAGGTCGATGTGTATCTAGATAAAGTCAAAGGAGTGCGCGATGACATTTTTGTGCAATTCTGGGATGTTTTTTTAAGTGAAAGTACATCGATGTGTACATGGATACCGAGTATGTGCAATTCTTAAAAACACTCCAAGCAGTGGGCGATTCTACACTTTCCCCATTTTCCTATAGGAATTTAGTTTCATTAAATTAGTTATTTAGTATAATTATATGTATATGAGTATATTCATACTTATTCACATAGATGGAATTTTTACACTACGAAAGTTGATCTTTTTTACATCAAGAACTACATATAGTATAAATACCCATTATATTATAGATTTTATTTATATAAAATCTGTGAAAGATTACATAGCACTAAAAGTGAGATACGGAATAAAACATTATACGCTACGAGATATTTCCTTAATTCCCGAACCGTGCGTTGAGAATACGTATTTGTTGAGACTTGTAAATTTTTTAAAATTCGTTTTGTTACAATATAATTTATTGTATTTTGGGTATTATTAAATTTATTATATGTTATCTTCATGTTTCATTTATCTTTTGAGAGATACAGGTAACATTCAAAGTATTGTAATAAGGGGTCAACACAGTGTTTGTATATTATTATGGTTAATCTTTGGATTATGGTAACTTGGCGATTTTTTGGCGACCAACCCTGCTACAGCAACCTGCTAGTTTTGTTTTAGACGCTATTTTGTTTTCACGAAGTATAGTTTTTTTTTTTTTTTTTTTTTTTTTTTTTTTTTTTTTTTTTTAAGTCAGCATTTTTTCCAACAATCTACTAGCCAAATTACTCTTATACTAGAACTTTTATGGAACAAAAATGCTTAATCATGACGAAGATTAGGTGCGAAATTCGGAGACAGCGCAGAATCGCAAACTGCTTGCCGCGTCTTTAAGAATTGCACTTACACGATATTATCCATGTACACGTCGACCTATTTTCACTTAAAAAAATCCCAGAATTGCACAAAAATGGCATTGCGCACACTCTTGACTTTATCCATGTACACTGCTAAAGTCCTAGCTAGTAACCTTTATCACCTTACCAAAATGTCGCCAAACTACCTGTTACCATATTCCAAAGATTAGCCATTATTATTTCTTTAATACTGCTATAAAATTACTATTGTCTGTTTTAGTTCCTTTTAAAACATCAAATTATGTAAGAGTCATATGACATGAATTAATCTCGAAGTGATGCAGTGCAGAAAGATTACTGTTTTTAGAATAGAGAAGGAAAATTAATTTTATGCTGCTAATTTAATCTTTTGCATATTCCTTATTTTTCTTATATATATATGTATGTACATATATCATTCGATGGTTGTGAATCATGACTTTGGTTATTATCTTTCTCTTCATTTTATTTTCAAAATTATATAAAGGTAGTTTAAAATTTTGTAAAGAGAATTTATACAAATATTTTGTAATACGTTTATAGATATTGACGTGCATTAAGGACAGGGGCTTGTAGGCTTCTAGATATTTAAAAATTTTTATTTGCATTGAATTTTATTTAAAATTACTTTACATGCTTTCTCAGCCATTTAGTTCTGTACATTTCAGTGCTAATTATGTACTTCTGCTGGTTTATGTTTTTATGGAAATTTGATTTACAGTTCTATTTTTGTGTATTGTTTTTTATAGGGATTCTGTATATGAATACCCGTGGAAATTTGGCCAATGGATATGCATATAAAGTTTCTGATTTTGGCGGCTATGGGTTTTTTACTGGGATTTTGTTTATAGTGCCTACAGTTTCTACAGGTTTCTACAGAGATTTGGCCTACTCATATCCGTACAATTGTACAGGATTCTGTTTACAGGTATTTGGCCTACAGGTACCCGTACAGCCATGCAGGTTTGTTTTCTATGGGTTTTTTACGGGTATTTGGCCTACGGGTACCCGTACAACCGTACGGGTATTTGGCATACGGTACCCGTACAACTGTACGGGTATTCTGGCCTGTGGGTACCCGTTTTATGGGGGATTTGGCCTACGGGTTTCTTTCTATGGGTTTTTACGGGGATTTGGCCTAAGGGTACCCGTACATTTGTACGGGTTTCTGTCTATGGGTTTTTACGGGGATTTGCCCGTAGGCCAATTTCCCGTAAAAAAAATTTATGGGTTTCTACGGAGCATTTTTAGCAGGGAAATGACCCGTAAATTTCAATAGCTAAGAACAGGCCGAAAAGTTTTCACTTATACGTATAAATATACGGTAACCTAGAGTTTTGGTAATTTTCTGTTAACCCTTTGCGGCACAGTGTGTCTCGTCTGGACACACCGAAAAATTTCCTTCTGCACGCACAGAAAAATTGAATGAAAAAGGATTTATAGGTTACTCTGAACTTTCTTTATTTATAGTAGATGGCAGCTCAACACAAACCAGTCCGTATATTTTAGCCATGCTTAGTTTTTTTAAGACCCTCATTTTTCAAGAAATCTTCCAGATTCTTTTAGGGTATAAAAGGAATTGTTTGAAAAGAAATTTCTATGTTTTTTTGTATGATAATCTCCTTATTCTATATTAGTTTTAAATTTTTACCTTGAAATCTTTCCTAAAATCAAACGGCGAACCCTAGGTGTGCCCAGACCGGGCTCACCGATAATCTAGGACAACTTAGAGTCTGTATTCTTTGTTTCTCCGCATCTCATCGGTCAGTTCATTGACAACGTTGCTCGTTTCAGCACTCTTTTCGAAACTCTATTCAGTCAGTGTGCCACTTTGGGCGCACCCACAGAATTAAAACGATAAGTGCTATCTTCACAAAATTTTACTTGTGTATTCCTCTAGGCCTAATTAGACTGCCTACCTTTTATTTAATCAAAACTCCGACTTTAAAAGATAGCGTGCTGGAAAGGGTTAAAGGGACGCGAGTCGCCATATGTCCGCCTAAGAGGCAAATGTGTTATCCGGTTCATATTGTGTCATCAGTAGCTGGGCAATGTTGAGGTTGTGAGCGGTTCCGAATTCGTGTAAGTACTGATATACTGATAGGAATACTGATATGTTTTCGCTTCCAAAGTCATCAAACAGTTGCACAAATTCGGCATCGCGCATGGCTTCGGCATTGCCCACATCCTTTCCGCACTGCTACGTCATGGAAGAGTGTTCATTTGTTTTCACGAAGCTTCATGTATCATTAGGGTTGCCACAATGTTGTTAGATTTCGCGCAAACGTTTATGTTTGGCTCTGAGTGGTGCCACGTTAACAGAAAGTACCAAATTTTCTCTTAGGATGCTGATATGATTTGTATGCATTTTGATAGAAATGTTTATTTATGCTATATAATTTATTTTTCAGGTGCAAGCTTAGCTCTTCAAGGCACTGTTTGGAAAGCATCAAACTTCAGGAGTGAAAATGGCGGAATATTGTAAACGTATTGTCATTTCGTTTTACGTACAACGTTTTTAAGCAAAGATCACCATGCCAAATTTCTTCTTTCCTTCCAACGAAACAGATCTATCCTTCAACTTTACGTTCAACTTCAGCCTAAAGCAAGCGTTAGATGTCCTGCAAGAACATTTCTCTAATGATAGAATCTTTGACAATGATACTGAGACGATCATCATCACGTGCTATGCTTTACTGATGGCTACGGGGCTGTGTTGTAATCTTCTGGTGTGCAGCGTAGTGCTCTCGAATCCTAAAATAAGGTATACCCTAATAAATGTCTCAAATTTCTGTAATTTGTATTGAAACATTTTTTTTAATGATTTGAGTGTTTATTCCTGGTATTGAAGTAATACTTGAAAAATGGGGAAAAGAGAAAGGAAGAAAAGAAAGCCAAGAGAAAACTTCGCGGCTCTAAACATTGCGGTACATATATTGTCGTTGAAAATAACTTGGTAAAAAATAAACCACCTACAAATTATCGCATGACGATAACATCGCACACATGCGTTTTTCAGGTTTTAAAAGTTGTAATAAGAGATGAAAGTTTTAATAATAACAAGAAATGTTAACGACATTTTAAGAATGAACGGAAACAAACAAACAAAAAAAAAAAAAAAAAAAAAAAAAACATTAGTGTTATCGTCATGCGATGATATGTAGGTGGTTTATTTTTTACCACAACATTTTCGAGGCCGACGTTTTAAAACTGCGAAGTTTTTGAACCGCTTTATTTTCGGCGACGATATTTTGAACCACGATGTTTTAGAACTACGATGGTTTCTCTTTGCTTTCTTTTCGATGTTTTGTACCACGACGTGTTTACCTTGCGTTGTTTTCTACGCGATGTTTTTGTCACGATGTTTTCCGCAGACGCCGAAGAATTACTTGTACCTTATCGCCCTCAAAATCGATAAAGTTTTTCAAAATCTATGCTAAACCAAAGCTTCTTTTTACCTAGTTTTAAATGTTTAGTTAAAACCCAACTGCTTGGCGACTTAATTATTACATTTCTCTTTCGTTTAGAAATTTTTATGATTTATTTGACCTAATTTGACGCCGTTATTTCAGTTTAAACAGCTTTATTCAATAATATTTTGATCATAATAAGTGATATATTTTCTATGTTTCCGTATTCAAAGGGACAGGACTTCGGCAAATCGATAACAATATCCGAATAATAGCATTAACCGGATAACATTAAGCGGCGCCTTCTGTATGGTATTTTACAAAATATTAAATTAATAAATACAAATATTATCATTATTTTGTTTAAATTTCTTTCCTGAGCAAAATATGGTTAAAACATTTCACCGAAGTTTCCGATATCCGAATAATAACATTACCCGGATGTCATTAATCTGCTTCTAGTGTATGTTATTTTACCAAGTATTAATTTGATAAATAAAAATAATCTCAGTATCTTGTTTAAATTTCTTTTCTGATCAAAATACGGTTAAAACATTGCAACGGATTTTGCAGTATCCGAATAATAACATTAACCGGATCATGGTAAGAGGTGTCTACTGTATTGTATTTTACCAAGTACTAATTTGATAAATAAAAACGATATCAGTTTTCTGTATAAATTCCTTTTCTATGTAAAATATTATTAAAAAAATTTAATCGGATTTTGGGGTATCCAAATAACAACATTAACCAGCTCACAGTAAGCGGCGTTTACTGTAAAGTTATTTTACCAAATACTAACGTGATAAAACGTAACGTAACGTAAAACCATATCAGGTGGTTGTTTAAATTTCTTTCCTGTGTAAAATATGATTACAAAATTACATCGGATTTTACAGTATCCGAATAATAACATTAACCGGATCTTATTAAGTGGCTTCTACTGTATGGCATTTTACGAAGTATTAATTTGATAAATAAAAATAATATCTGTATTTTGTTTAAATGTTTTCCCTGTGTAAAATATAATTATAAATTTGCATCGGAATTTACTTTACCCGAATAATACCATTAACAGGATTACATTAAGCGGCGTATACTGTATGGTATTTTACCAAGTATTAATTTGATAAATAAAAATAACATCAATATTTTGTTTAAATTGTTTTCCTGTGTAAAATATGGTTAAAACGTTGCATCGGATTTTAAAGCACTTGGATTTTTCTTAAAGGAAAATCCAACTCTTTTATTATAACTCTCTTTCATTCAAATTTAATCACTTATTGTTCATTTATAACATAGGGAAAACTTACTTTATAAAAATGCTATAAAACATTTTAAAGGAAAGTATTTAGAACTACAGAAAAGTTCGGAAATACAAAATTTATTATTATTATGTTTCTTTTACTTTACGTCATTTTAAAGATGTTAAGGAAATAAATATAAAACGAAAACAAACATTTCACTTTCATTTATTATCTTTTCCTCTCTTGACAACCTTCAACTAATCCACTGTAAAATTTTCATTAGCGAAACTTCGCCCGTGACAGAATTGCTCGAAAATAAAGTTTCTCCAAATATTCAGTTCATTTGAAAAACTTTGCTTTTGAGCTTTCGAATAATAATTAGGAAGGCGTAGTTTCTATTGCTTCGAAAATATATTATATTTTTCAGTAGCAAAAATAAATTTAAAGTTTTAGTCAGCGCTTTTCCTTTGAAATGAAATCCTCCGACACGATGGATATTTATTTATTTTAAAGCTAATGGTCTTTTGCCCTTAATAGCCTTCGCTGTTAGCGGAAACTGTAAAGTTCTTAAAGGATATTGTTAGCATACTTTTAAACTTTATCGCATTAAAAAGGCATTGCTTATGTTAATCAAGTCCGTGTTAAAAGGTGTGTGTCAAAATGATATATGTAAAAAAATGTTGCCGATGTTTGTTAGCAATTTAAAGAGCATAAAACTTTAAAACATTCGAATAACTTTTTATTTAAAATCTCGATAAAAATACAGTCCATACTCAAGATATACGACTTTCTACAATGCACTAACTAGCTTGCAGAGGACAAGTCAGTAACGTCACTTCAAAGTTAACTTTGAGAGTAATTAAGACACAATAACACGCCGAATAAATACTAATTCAGAAGTCAAACAACAAAAATCAGCGTTAATTTACAAAATTTTCACAGGACTAGTTTCGATGGTTTTACCGAACCATCATCTTCAGCTGCAAAACCGCAAATGAACAAGATAGGAAATAATGTTTAGATAAGATAAGAAAGCCTGTACAAGAATAAGCAAGTGGCGCCATCTGTTGGCGAGACCAGAACTAAAACATAATTTCTCTAAAAGCCGAAGGCAAATTTGGATTGGAATTAGGATCGTTTAACTAGAACAGAAAGATTTTTATGAATGTGAAATGCCTCTAGAAAATCCAGTTCTCCAATGGAAGATGTTTTTGAATAATTTTGGCAGCAGAAAAAATTGAAAGTGTGATTTTCGGACCAACAATGTTGAGCAACAGAAGACTTCTGTGTTTCCTTTTTTCTAACATATGCCTCATGTTCTTTGACGCGAAATTTTAAGGCTCTCTTAGTTTGGCCAATGTAAATTAAAACCGCACTGGCAAGGAATCCTATAAATACCCCAGGAATTCATATCCGGAATGGGGTCCTTGAGTATAGAAGTTGGAATTTTATTGATGGGAGAGTAAACAACCCGAAAGAAAGTTAAATTTCTGCAAAATATGTGCAACTTTATAGCTAATTGATGGAAAGAAGGGAATGACAACAGAATTTTTATAATCTCCTAAAATAAGAGTGTGGCTTTTAGTGTGTTGAGATGAGAATTTTTTAACTGCTTGATTAATAATGTTGGGTGAAAAGCCCCTGTCAATAGCTATTGCTTTTAAATAATTTAGTTCTTCATCAAGGGCTAGTTTGGAGGCAAACTTGAAGGCAAACTTGAAGAGCACGGAAAACATAGGAATAAAATGAAGCTAACTTTTGTTTAGTCGGATGACATGATTTAAAGTGTGGTGGAAGGCAAACCGATGAAGGTTTACGGTAAACTGTAGTACTGAAGTTGGATGTGTTACATGTGACCAGAATGTCGAGAAACGGAAGAGAATTGCAAGTCTCAAGTTCAAAAGTGAACTGAATAGCAGGATCAATAGAATTCATTGTTGAAAGAATATTTAAATCATCTTTATTACCTTCAAACAGGGTAAAAGTATCGTCTACGTAGCGGAACCTTGCCGGGAAGTTTAAAGTTTCAAACAATTTTGATTCATAATAATGCATGTAGATATCAGCCAGGATGGGACTGAGGGGGCTTCCCATGGCTAATCCCTCAGTTTGCTTGTAATATTTATTTTGGAAAACAAAATGTGTTTGTTTCAAACAGAGTTGAGTGAGAGAAATTAGCTCATCAATTTCGATGCAAGAGAAATGAAATTCGCGAAGTCTGGTTTCTAGACATCTTAATGCACCCCCTCACTGGGACATTGGTGAATAATGATTTTACATCAAAAGAAACCATGAGTAAATTACGAGGAGAAATGTTTTTTAACCTTTTTTACAAACTCTATTGAATTTTCTATGGTGTAAATGTTATTGTCTAATAGAGTGGAAAATCTAGAAAACTAAATATTTAGCTAATGGATACGAGGCAGTACCTAAATTTGATACAATAGGGCGGAAAGGAATACCACTTTTATGAATTTTGGAAAGAGCATATAATCTGGCACAATTCGCAACAGATGGGATAAGCGAATGTTTTAAGTTGCTTGAAATGATTTGCGAAGATTTGATCGCAGTTTTTATTTTGGATAAGTCCGAAGGTGAAGGATCTTTAGGGATCGGATTATATGGTCCTTCGTTTAAGAGTTTAGTGACACCATCGATGTAAGTGTTCTTATCCATGACGACTATCTGGCCACCTTTGTCGGCCTTTGAAATGACAATATCCGGGTTAGAATGAATCTCGCGCATTGTAGCTCTTTCTCTCGCAGTTAGATTTGGTTTCAAAGGTTTATTATTGAATTTCACATTATGAGCGATAAGATGCCTAATCATTTCTTTCTGTGAATCTGAAACTTTACTGAACTTGAAAGCTTTTTCGATAGGAGCTGTGAAATTTTTTCGATGAACTGTGAAAATTTTGTAAATTAACGCTGATTTTTGTTGTTTGACTTCTGAATTAGAATTTGAGAGTAATGTTGAGTCTTTTAGAGTTTTAATGTTGTAACATCTGTTGTGAGTTCTAACTAACTCTGTGGCATCGGTTACCCTAAAACCAAGGTGATACGCTTGTTTTGTGCCACTTCCATCGGTATAGTAGTTAGTGACACGCT